GTGATAACGTCCATAGTAAGTATGGAAAACATGCCATGCTGGATCAGGCTGAAGACCTATCTAGCGAAGTATCTTGCTTCCCACAGTGTCCAAATAGAAGCATATAGGACACCCACAAATAGAATATGAATGCAATGAGCCCTCCATCTTGCATCTTCAATCTAATATACTGAGGCACACTGCCCAAGCTGGTAGTTATCACTACATTCTGTGTCAGTAAATTCCAGAAATTGACCTTAAGGCAGCCACATGAAAGAAAGAGGAAGGTGCTCTTGTTCCTTTAATAAGAAGAGATTCTAGAGGTGTGGCTGGTGTGACTTGCTACACCTGCTGAATCCTCTCTTCTTCCATGTAACTATTAAAAGTAGAGCAACTCTGCCCTCTTTTTCATGTGGCCACTCTCATTTGTTTAGATGCCATGGGGAAAAGTGCTTCCTTTAATCTATCCTGAATCTCCCACCATTTAGCTTCAGTGGATGAACCTGAATTATTCTATCATATCTCCTCTTGTCTTTTTTCCTAAGTTAAACAGACAAAATGTATAGTTTTTTTGTGGGTTTTTCGGGCCGTGTGGTCATGTTCTAGAAGAGTTTCTTTCTGACATTTCACCAGCATCTGTGGCTGGCATCTTCAGAGACCAAAATTTAGGGCCTTTGCAGACTGCCAGAAATAGTGCAAATTGAGTCCACTTTAAGGGTTAGGGTTAGTGCTAGGGAGTCATGGGAATTGGTTTTTTTCTGAGACATTGAGCCTTCTCTGTCAGATAGCTCTGGTGCCCTAATAAAATACACTTCCCATGATTCCCTAACCCTAACCCTTAAAGTGGACTTAATTTGCACTATTTCTGGCAGTCTGCAAAGGCCCTTAATCTTGGTGGAATTTGGATTGCCCTTTTCTACTTTGTAATGCAGAGATGAGAAGCCAGGGTGGCATAGTGGTTTGACAGCTAGACTAAAACTCTGGAGACCTGGGTTCAAATCCCTGCTTGACCTTGGAAACCCACTGAGTGATTTTGGGCAAGTCACACACTCTCAGCCTCAGAAAACCCTGTGATAGGGTCGCTTTAGGGATGCCATAAGTCAGAAACGACTTGAAGGCACACAACCACAAATGCAGAGATGACTCACAACACTTTGCTGCCCAAGGCAGGATAGAAAATTAAATCCATCTCAGGTGCATCATTAGGGGCTGCTGGGAATTCAGGACACACCAAGTGACACCCGAAGTGAGAGTGACATCACTGCTCTCCAAATGCCAGCCTTTTGGCAGAAATGAGCTGTGGCGTTTGCCTGCATCCCTTTAAAACAGTGGAGCTAGCAGAAGAGATGGGGTGAGGCTCAATGAGTGGTTTGTTGTTGCTGTTGTAAACTAAAACATGCAACATTTAAAATTTATTTGTAAATTATTCTTTTAAAATCTTTAACATCTTACCAAATTTTCACTTTAACCATGTGAAACTATGTACATATAAATATATTTATGCTGTGCGTATTATATTGTAATTTAAAGATATAATTTTTATTTTGCTAGTTGTTTATGTCATAACTATTGCCATTACATTTAGCGATATACGGGAAATATGATCTATGAGTAACATTAGTGCAAAACAACAATCGTAAGGATTCTGTATGGCGTGGTGTGGGAAGAGGTCACTGGGGAGTGACACCATGAGTTGCCATATCAGGTGATGCCAACCTACAGACGCCACTGACTCACCTACCACAGTAGTGCAAAACAAAGTGCATGGTATCCAAAGTCAGATACATTACTTGGGCACATAAGGTAGTAAATCCAGCAAGTACCTCTTGCAGATTCTGGTAGTAAAAATAGAATTATGTAAAAGGAAATTGCTAACAATTTCCTTCCCTTTCATGACTTGATGCCTCAGGGGACCATCTACTTTATCAATGGTAGGGCCAGTCCTACTTATAAAATCCTAGCAGCAAGACAGATGGCACAAAATTAAATATATTATTTAATTTAATATGACTGTTGTGGGGAGGGGCATTAGGAGCTACTGGGAAACCTAGGATGATAAGAGTTGGAAGGCACCACAAGGGATCTGCTATGCAGAAACCCACAATTAAAGCCCTCTTGAAAGTTGGCCGTCCAAACTTTATGTAAAGACCTCAAAAGAAAAAGAAGCCACCATCTTCCAAGGCAGTCCTTTCCAATCTCAATCAGCTGTTACTGTCAAGAGATTCTGTTGTTTGGCCACATCGGTCTAGATTTTCACCTCTGAAATGTTGGAAGGTACGCTGGACTGTGTGAGAGAGTGTCTCCTAGCACGATTCACAAACTTTCACAAGCAACCAGTATCAGCCTACAAAACTGAACTAACAAAATATTTTTTGCACTCCGTCCCTGTACAAAATGTTGTATTAGTGAAAGCACTGGAAATCTGCTACAAGAAAAATGACTAATCAATATTTTAAGGTAATCAAATATTTCTTTATGGTCTCCAAAGAAACCCCAACAACTTAGGAAACTGCCTTTTTCTAAGTCAGACCTAATCCACTATGGTTAACCCTAACTGGCTGTGGTTATCAGAGATTCCTGACCCCATCCAGTACTAACCAGGACTGATGCTGTTTAGTACTGAGGGCTGCATCTACACTGCCAAACTGGTGCAGTTTGGCATTGCTTTAACTGCCATGGCTCAATGCTATGACATTCTAGGATTGTTTGTTTTGTGAGATACTTAAGTCTTCTCTTTTAGAGAGTTCTAGTGCCACAACAAACTATAATCCCAGGATTCCATAGCATTGAGCCATGGCAGTTAAAGTGGTCCATTAATTCTGCATGTGGTACCAACACTGGATGAGATCAGGGGCTCTTTCACATTACACAATTATATAGCATTATGATTCCATTTTAACTGTCATGGCTGCATCCAATAGAATCGTGAGGACTGCAATTTGGTGAAGCCCTAGAACTATGTGGCTAAAAATTCTCAATACCCCTCCCTAAACTGCAAATCCCAGGAAGCCATAGGACAAAACCATGGCAGTTAAAGGAGTATAACTTTGTAGTGTAAAAGCTCCCCCTGCCCGCATGTGTATTCATATGATGAGGGTTAGGGGCCAGCTACTAAAACTTCTCTGCCTGTATGGTCAAGCCACCCTTTGCCTCAGATCCTGAATTCAATGAGTCCAAGAAAAGATTGTCAATGTGACCGACTGTTCTCCACATCCAGGCCTATCCTCCCTTGTGTAAGTAAGGGGGGTTGCAAACTGCCAGAAA